GTAAGGAAAGTTAACCAGTGAAACAGCTTGCCACCAGAAATGGTGGGTGCTCCATCCCTGGAGGTTGTTAAGAAGAGACTGGAAAGGCTACTTGTCTGGAATGGTATAGGATCTCCTGCTTGAGCAGGGGGCTGGACTAGAAGACCTCCAAGGTCCTTTCCAGCTCTATTCTGATTCTGATGGCAGGAGAAGCAGCAACAGATGGAAACTAATCAAGGAGAGAAGTTAACTGGAACTGAGGGGGAATTTCCTAACAGTGAGGACAATTAATCAGTGGAACAGCTTGCCACCAGAAATCGTGGGAGTTTAATCACAGGAGGTTTTTAAAAAGGGACTGGACAGCTACATGTCTGGGATGGTATCTGGTCTCCTGCTTGAGCAGGGGGCTGGACTAGAGGGCCTCCAAGGTCCCTCCCAGCTCTATTCTAATTGACATTTCCCAAAGAGGCCTGCCTTCCCATCCTCCCTCTCTCCAACCCTGCTCTGACCTGGCACCTCTGAGCTTGGCACGGATGAAGCCAAAAAGGAAAGTTAGATGGCCAATATTGTTAGTCGCTCTCTCTCCTTCCCACGGAAAAGCCAGGCTCCCGTTTCCCCCAAAACTCACCAAATAGTGAAAGGGCTGCTACTCTAGTAGTAAGGGCACCTGTGCTAAGATGACTGTAAACAGAAGTTAGTTAACATTATTTCTCTCTTTTCTATTTCTTTCTTTTTTCTCTCTCCTTGTTCCTATCTTTTCTTCTTTCTCCTTCCTTCCTTCTTTCCTTCCTTCCCTCCCTCCCTTCTTCTTCTTTCTCCTTCCTCCCTCCCTCCTGCCTTCCTCTTTCTCCTTTCTTTCCTTCTCCTTCCATCCTTTCTTCTTCCTTCTTTCCTTTCTCCTTCCTTTTTTCTATTTCTCCTTCCTTCCTTCATCTCCCTCCCTCCTGTCTTTCTCCTTTGTTCCTTTTTCTCCTTCCTTCCCTCCTTCCTCTTTCTCCTTCCTTCTTCTATTTCTCCTTCCTTCCTTCTTCTATTTCTCCTTCCTTCCTCTCCCTCCTTCTTCCTTTCTCCTTCCTTCTCCTTTTTCCTTACTTTCTCCTTCTTTCCTTCCCTCCCTCCTTCTTCCTTTCTCCTTCCTTCTCCATTTTTCCTTACTTTCTCCTTCTTTCCTTCCCTCCCTCCTTCATCCTTTCTCCTTCCTTCTCCTTCTTTCCTTCCTTCCTTCCTTTCCACCCTCCCCCCCTGAGTGAAAATAATTGAGCCACACACAAGAAACTAAATAAAATTCTTAATCTTCCCCTTTAGCGTCTCTCTGAAGTGAGTCATTCCCTTTTGTTGTCTCACACTTTCTCAGGAATGCAAATACCCACCTGGGGCTTCTGTTAGGCAAAACTCCAGGCCCAAAGCAAGAAATGAAGGGATCAGGAATCGTTTCCTGCCCAATTTAGCTTCTGCTGATGACTTCAGGGCCTTCCTTTTGCCGTTCTAAACCCTGGCCAAACATTCAGGAGGAGAGAACGGGATCGAAGGTGCTACATTGCTGAAATCTTTCACGCCACCCCACAAAACTTGGGAAATTCAGATTAACCAGAATAACTGCATCCGTTAATGAATATTCTGGGGAAAAATAGATATATCTGAGGAAGGGAGAGAGATTTATTTGCTTTTAACACTTAGAAAAGGGCAATCTGCATTTCAACAGGAAACTTCAGACAGGCTGGCCCCATTTTCTGCCCTGTGAAGTGGGGAAATCCTATGTCTCCTAGTTCTACTTTTGTCCTAGTTTCCCTGGCCTTTCTCTCCCTGTTATATCACACCTTTCCACTTGACTTCTAACTTTTTGGCTCCAGGTCAGCAGCCGGTAATCTCCCAATCTTTTCAATGTTCCAGCCATCTTGCTTTAATGGTAGTAAATACCAGATTCATTGGTCCTCAGGTATTTTCTTCTTGCTTTTTTACATTGTCATTATAGTAATATCCACTGTGCAAAGATTACTGGAAGCTACCATAAAGCAAGCAAGCAACCAACCTTTCTTCCCCTTTCTTTCTTTTTTCTTTCTCTTTCTTTCCTCTTTCTCTTTCTCTCTTTTTCTTTCTTCTCCTTTCTATCTATCTCTTTCATTTTTCTTTTCCTTTCTTTCTTCTCTGTCTCTTTCTTGCTCTTTGTTCCTTTCTCCTTTCTTTCTTTCTCTTTATCTCTTTTTATGCTTTATATTTCTTTCTGTCTGTTTCTCTCTCTCTCTTTTCTGACACTCTTTGTCTCTTTCTCTTTGCCTCTTTCTCTGTTTCATTTCCTATCCTCTCTTTCTCGTCTGTTTCTCTTCTCTTTCTTTCTCACTTTCTCTTTGTTTCTTTCCCTCTCTTTCCTTTCTTTTCTTTTCCTTTATTTCTGATGAGCATCAACAACAACAGAAAAACAGGCAGAGACCCTCTTTAGCTTCCCGATGCTTCGATGCTTCCCTTTTTTAACGTGGCATGAATATTCCTGCAATACCAAGCCAGATCGAGTTTGAAGGGAACTCAACCATTCTCTACTGTGGTTTTCCAGACTTTGATCATTAATTGTCCTTAACCCCTTTGGAAAAAGCCTTCGGGAATGCCGAGATCCTAAATCCCCAAGACATACCCTCCCCAACAACAGGAGGAATAACTAGAGCCGGCCCAGGCCAGGCTGGAAAGGGGGGGGGGTCCGTGTGCCCGCTCACCTTTCCAGAAAAACCTGGGTGTGCCTTGCAAAAACAACAGAAACATGATGCGGCTTGTTCTCGCCCTCCCTTTCAACAATTATTTTTCAAGAGAGAAAAGTGACTCAAAAGTGCCCGGTACCTTTTCGGGCTTTGGTTTCGAGCTCATTGGTGAATTTATCAGGAATGAAATCCTGTTTTGTCCACCCACGCCGTCCCGCGGGAGTTAGCCCTGAAACTACCCCTCCCTCCGCCAAAGCTCGGTTGGACATTCACCTTTTGAAACTTTTATTATTATTATTATTTTTTGCAAACTGCAAACAGCCAAACCGAGCCAAAGAGATCCCCAAGCTAGAAAGCGGGGCAGGATTTGAAGACAATTAAATTAAAAGTTTGCCAACTAACATCTCAAAGTCAGAGGCCAGTTTAGCCTGAAGTTTGGATTGGTTCAAACTGGGATTTTTGGGGGGTGTCTATGATACAGAAGGAAGGACTCCCTGGAGAAGAGCCTCATGCTGGGAACGATGGAGGGCCAAAGAAGAAGAAGGGGATGGCAGAGAAGGAAGTGGGCTGGATGGAGTCACCGAAGCAGCCGGCGTGAGCTTCAATGGACTCCGGAGGATGGCAGAGGACAGGAAGGCCTGGCGGAACATTGTCCATGGGGTCGGACACAACTTCGCAAATAACAACAACAACAACAACAAACGATACGGATACAATCTAGCATTATTATTTTTTTTTTTAGGAAACCAAAAGACATTTGACACGAAATCCATGCAGCTTTGAGAGTTTTAAGGAGCATTTCACAATCTTGCCCACCCTAGGATTGGTGGACTTCAACTCCCAGAATGCTCCAGCCAGCTTTGCTGGCTGGGGCATTCTGGGAATTGAAGCCCCCCCATCTTAGAGTGGCATGATTGACAAACACGGGTTTATACTCAACCTCAACTCATGCCTTCGCTGCTTTACCCTTGCTTAAACAAACCATGGCTTAGCTCCAGCCGCTCCTTCCAGAAACCAAGATTAAAAACAAAAGGCAAGCAGAAGAGGAGGAAGAGAGAGAAATCTTGGAAATCAATCAAAAGCAAATCAATCAAAAGGAGCCCGGCCAGTCATACAATAGCTAGTGTTGCCCGCCCCAAAAAGAATTAGAGGGCCTCCTGTTTGAGCAGGGGGTTGGATTAGAAGACCTCCAAGGTCCCTTCCAGCTCTTATTCTGTTTGGGAAAGTCAATGCGGTCAAATAAAAGGCGACAATCGGGAGGGGGGGAGACATGGGGGAGGGGCACGGGATGGAGTGGGGGTTACTTAGTCACCCCAATTTCCCTCCGTGGCCCCCATTCTTAATGGGAGTTTTCTTGGTTTCTCCCCCCACCCCCGGGAGGTTCCCGCAATNAATGGATGGAAACTGACCAAGGAGAGATTAAAACCTGGAAATAAGGAGGAATTTCCTGGCAGGGAGAACAATCAATCCATGGAACAGAAGTTGCATTCAGAAGTTGTGGGAGCTTCATCCCTGGAGGCTTTCAATAAGAGACTGGGCTGCCCTCTGTCAGAAATGGTTTAGGGTCTCCCGCTTGGCTGGCTGGGTGGTTGGACTAGATGACCTCTAAGGTACCTTCCACTAATCTGTTAGATAGGAAGGGTGAAAATGGCGATGGCGTGACTTCTACAGTGTCAGAACTGTGAGTCGGAGACCTGAGCACCCAGATCGTGATCATGATCAGCAATATCACCCATCAGTCCTAAGTACTTCTCATTCAGTGCCATTGCAATTTTGAAAGGTGCTAAACAGGCGTAACTCGAGGATTTCCTGTATGATCCATTTCAAGGCAAAGCTTACCATTAGCCTTTTTGGCAGCGAAGGTAACTGCTGGGAAGACTGACGTCACTATTTTTTTCTCTATTTATTTGTATCCTGCCTTCATTTTTTGACAAATAACTCAAGGCGGCAAAATATTCGGCACTCCTTCCTCCTCCTATTTTGCTGACAACGACCCTGGCAGGTGGGTTGGGCTGAGAAAGACTAGCCCAAAATCACCCAGCTGTCTTTCCTGCCAAAGGTGGGACTAGAACTCCCAGACTCCAGGTGATTGGCCCAAAGTCAACCAGCTGTCTTTCCTATCAAAGGCGGGACTAAAACTCCCAGACACCTGGTGATAGGCCCAAAGTCATCTAGATGGCTTTCCTGTCAAAGGCAGGACTAGAACTCCCAGACTCCTGGTGATTGGCCCAAAGTCACCTAGATGGCTTTCATGCCAAAAGCGGGACTAACATTGCCCCCATCATCAACCCTAAACCTCGTCTCCTCACATCCGAGCCGCTCAACTGTTCTCACCTGTCCAGATTTGGTGTTCTCCATCGAACAGTCCGGAATGATCTTGGACAGCTGCACAATCCAATTGTTGATCTTGTCCCTGCGCCGGCGTTCCACTGTGGACCCAAAAGGATGACAGGATTACTTTCTGGAAGGAGAGGCTCTACTTCACCATTTTGCAAAGTTGTGAGAACAATCTTGTGAGGTAGGTTGGGAAGAGAGAGAGAGAGAGAGAGAGAGAGAGAGAGAGAGAGAGAGAGAGAGAGAGAGAGAG